TAATGGAATACGACTAGACTTTGACTTTATATGTATATCTTTATCTAGTTGAATATGAAAACCACAACATATTATTAATTAATATCAAATAGAAAAAAGATTTAGTTTACTTACGAATAGGGTTTTCGAATGAATTTGGAATATAATTAGACAATGCAAGATGATCGTTAGTTTCGATTTTAGTACCTATATAGATATATTGTTGTTAGAATAATCTTAATTTTTTTAGATGTTCTTTTGTCTTACTTGTCGAACTATCTCGTCCCGGAAAATATAAATCAAGTTCACTTTTGTCGATACCACAATTTCGTGGATCTATATATACATATATATATATATATATGAAGAAAATTCATGAACATTAGTTCAAATGATTGAAGTTTTCTTTTATCCTACCTATGAAATCTATTGAATCACATGAAAGCGAAATACTATCGACAGTTGCAACATGGCAGTCATCTTGAGAATCACAATTTAATGCAAGTGATTTTTGTATGTCATTATCGTCGAATGAAGTTGTACTGATATATTCTTCCACTGACCATTGGATATGAGTCATATTCAATGTATAAAAATGTTTACTAAGTTCTAAAAAGAATTATTTTTACGAAAAAAAAATATAATTATTACATGGTGATTTTTTGTCATCCTATTGCGTTATTTTTATACAAGCTATGTTGTAATTTTTTAATGAAGGTATATGTTGCTTATAGATGATGACGGAAAAGAACGAAGAAAAAAAAACCCATAAAGAATAAAAGAAAAAAAATAAGGCAAAAAGGAAACTGCTTCTCACATACTTCTAATAGTTACCCATGATGATAAGTTAGTTTTTTTTTCTTGTAATTGATCGTGAGGGATCAATCCTATGACTAATGATGGTTACTATGCATTACTAATAGTATTACTAAGTCGAAAAATAATTTCACAAGAAGCCTAAGTATTGTTTCATTAAATTTACTCACTATCGAACAATTAATATTTAACTTTAAGTATTCTACAATGAATATAATGAGTCTTTCTCGGTTTTATTCCGATTTATTGTCTATAGAAAAAGTTAGAAAACTTGAATATGTAAGACTCGAAATACGCACATGTATTTATTTATTTTTAAATTGAATAATGAAATATTTTGTTATGTAATTGCTGTTATTATGAAATGAATGTTGAAGAAGTTTTGAAATAAATGTTGGTTGTATGATTTGATATTCTGAAACTTAAGTCAATATTTGAACTATCATTCATAATCTACGATAAAATGTTGATAACATTCTCTTGGTTCTAATCTTTTACATTAATTACAAAAGTCATTATTATTTTTTTTAAATCTGTTTTTCACACGCAGCTATATTAAGATGAAATTTATGGAGAATAAAAAAAGAAGAACCAAAATCAGAATAAAGTGATAATAAATTCAAAGAAGCTTCGATAATGGTAGAACATATATATATATAAAGAAAATGTGTAAACTAAGAAAGTCAAAGTTATGGAAAATTATTAATAAAGTTGTTCATTTAATAGTTTTTCTCTTTTTATTTGTCTGATTGTTAGTAGTTGTCTAAAAAATATTTAGAAAAAAGAAAAGAAAATTTATACGTCAAACAATAAAATTTTTTCTATACTTTTGAAGTTGTGCGTGTTCTACTTGCATTTTTTTGTCTTTTATTTATTCTTGGCATGACATTATCATCAGTAGGATCAAAGCAGTGTGCACATTTTGGACAGCAAATTTTTTTCCCAATAGTTTTCGTAATTGTTTCTAAGAAAACAATAAATAAATTGGATGATTATTAAGCATATATTCAATAACTTACCTGCTTTATTATTTGATGTTGCTAATTGTTTTGCTGATGATTCAGTTATAACTGATGAAATAACTGTTGTTTCAGGATGTATATCATATGAACCATTTGGTAATTTTGTACATAATGTAAATGCTATATGTGATTTCTCAAGTTGATATGTATTGATTAAATCTTTCGGTGCCAATTTTTCTTCATTAATGATATCTAAAATATGATGAAAGAGAATTATTTTCTTTTCTTTTGTTCTTTGTGTTTACTTTGTATGTTAGTAATTGTATCCGTAAAAGGTATTAATGGTTGAGCATCATTCAATTGATCTAATTTGGATTTAATCAAAACGAGTTGAAGTCTAGAAATTGGTTAATAAAATTTATTTATTTATTTATCTGTCTTTTTTCTTTGTCATGTCAATTCTTTACTTCATAGTAAAATTATTATTTTTTTGTGCTTGTACAGGTATATAAATAGGATTCTGATCCGGCACTTTAGCATCGCGATGATTTATTTGGAATTTATATGGACTATAAAAATGTCCATGATCATCCATTGATATTGTTATTAATGCAACACGAATGTATTCGTTTGTAAAACCATGTTTATATTCATTTGGCATCTATATTTTGAAATAATCTATTTAATGAATCGTATTTTGTATTTTTTTCCTACTTGTAATGTAACATAATGATTTCCAACTTTATCAGCAACATAGCGTGGCCGTCGAGAAGTGCCACTTTGTGGAAAATAATCACTTTTATATCGCGCTCTATATGTATCTTCTAATGGTTGAAGAATTAGTAATCGATTTGGTGCTGGAACTGTAACAGCCACCGATGTGGATAATGGTATTGACGTACTGAAAAGATTTTTTGTTGGTGCTAAAAAAATGGATGAATTTGAAAGAAAACAATAAATGTGAGATTTTTATTTTTGAAAAATACATTTTTCAATATGTGGACGAGCTATTGGTAGTACTGGATCGCTTGATTTAATCATGGCCAAATGTTCATCAGTGCTTGGTATTCCTAAAGCAATAATTACCTCTTACGAAATTTTTGTAAATATGATAACCAAATACTGGTTTGCTCATAAAACTCTAAAATCGATTATACAAATAAAGAAAAGACAGCAGATTGCGTTCAACTTCAACCAGCACCAAGTAATTGGGTACTTGCCAACTCACATAAATTTTCCGAAAGTCTTGTGGATTTTCTTGCATAACTTCATAAATAGGCTTGTGGTTTCATATTATAATATAAATCTCATAAAGTTGAACGTTTGGTCTTTTGTAAGATTAGAGCTTCAGCAGCAATCGGAATTACCTAGCATGATATTGGTTCTAGGATTCTACACAACTTTACGAATTTTTGTTTAGTTTAACAGGACTTCGAATAGTTTTACGTAGAGAGAACTTATAAGTTCTCATAGACCTCTACATCCAAAATTTCTTCTTTTCTACTTGATATACATGTAGAAAGATATTATCATACTAAAAGTACATGGGAAATAGAGAATACCGTATGATAGGAGAAAATAAGAAGATCGTCAAAGTTATCATCTACATAAAAGCTTAGCCATTACATATATATATACATATATACGGATACTGTTACCAAAGAGTTAAATTAATGCAGAAAATTTCGTTAAACAATATAAAATAAAACATACGATCAGCCATGTCATTTGATTCTATTGGAGAAAAAACATCTGCATCATCGTTTAATAATTCACTTATTTCATCCATAGTAGAACTAGGAACTATTTTGCAAAGAATACTTTATTTTATTTTAATTAAATTTATAAAACTAACCAGAAGATGGTTCCAGTGTTCTAATATCATCTAGCAAATTTTTGAACAATTCATCTGGATATAGTGTCATATTTAAGTCTTAATAAAAATAAAATAAAAAAAAATGTCTTTGTATCATATTTATTAACCTGCAACATCGATCTCATAAAATGATTCCCATGTATTATAATCATAGCGAATGCGAGTACCTAAATCATTAAAAAAATATTTAAATACTTTATCAAACAATATAATGATAACATTATATCTATATTACCAATTTCTTCAGTTGATACTGATGATTGAATAACATCTTCAAAGAAATATAGGTAAGTTTGAAAACTAGTCATACGTATATACATTTTTTGATACATACTGGGTGTGAGAATAAAATCAAGATTATCCAACGGACCAAGGTTAGATGTGTTAGCTGGAAAAAAAATGATTATAAAATATTATTTGATTAATCATTCATGTTTACTTGGTTGGTCCATACGGTTTATGTCTATGATGTTTAACAAAATAATAATTTAGATAATAACATTTCATGAACCACTATTAGTGGTTGTAAGTAAAAACAAATCTATAAACATATGAAGTATGTTTTTATTATTGACAGAAAATATAAGAATATATATATGTGACCTTGTTGCATACAAGGAAAAGCAGCTATATAGAAATTACCACGTGCTATTATTTAGTGGAGTCGACAAAAAAAACGTTCGGATTACTTATTGATGTAAAACACTTTTTCATGATAATTGTAAAAAGAGAAGACGAATGAAATATATTTACTTACCCATTTACTATGTTTTTTTTTGTTCTTCTTCTTACCGTCATGAATCATTTTTCCCGATTCTCGGTTTTTTCCAACTTTAGTTGTATGCTCTTATTCTTTCTTTTTTTTTTGCTTTTATTCTCTCATTTACACAAGGCTATTTTTGTTAGATTCTCTTTTTATGACGCATTTGTCATAACAACATATATCGATAAGAACAAAAAAAACTACCCAAGTGCAAATAGGATGCCAAAGAATGAAGTGTATATATGTATATGACGAATCAAGAAAAAAAATGCTGTACTAACACCCCTGTCAAAAAAACGTAGTGACATAAAACATAGACATGAAAATGATTCAGTATACGAAAAAAAAGAACATTGCTAAAATAAATACTTTCGCTAGTATAAATAATATGTTTTTATTTTATTGGCCGAAACTAATATCACGCTAAATGAATTAAATGTAGTAAACGGAAAAAAAAGCACTGGGTAATAATTGAGTCATTGCATGAAAATAACGAAAAAGCAAAATAAATATTAATAATCTTGATTACTGTGTTCTTAGAACAAAATAATTAAAACACGACGAAAGACGTTGTGTCGCGGATGAGGCCGTTCTGCAAGAATAGTTATGAACTATCTACAGATGAACCTTTGACTTGATTTATTTTACAATTAGATTTTCGAGTGAACTAGAAAAAAATACAAAAAAAAACAACATTAGAAAATTTTGTATCATAATCATTTTTCACGTATATCATTCTTTAATTTTAGTTCCTTTTTGTAAATAACAAATTACTTTTATGATACTAGATAGAATTCATATATATATATCTTCAACTAAGGCGTAATTTAGATTAGGTCATATTATCTTGATCAATTAAACCTTATGGATTTATAAAAAAAACTAACAGGGATAGCGTTTATTATTAGAACCAAATATCTCATTCATTTTAAAGGTTTTGCATCATAGGTGAAGATATCTTCTCTAGCAATAGATAATATGATATGCGATAAAATGTTATCATATAACTCCGCAATTACTCTACAATATTATCCCTGAAACACAATTTTTTTTCTAATTTTCCTAATTACTCGGATTGTAGCGCCTGCCAGGGTCCCAATGAAAGAATCATTCAAAAAAGGACGTCCCTCATGTCGCGTGTTCAGATGCTGTGATGTATGCGATTAGCATAATCAAATCTGAGATTTCTAATTGAGAAGTCCACGAGAAATTAAATAGATCCTATTTTACTTCTATACTTGTTAAGCTGTTATGACTTTCATATTTTACATTTTGTAATTCTTGTAGTACCCATAGTTCTTTTTAGTTCATTGAGGCCCTTCACTCTCTTTAGTCCTTTCAGTCCCTGTAGTTTCTTTATAGTATCTGTTGATATGTGTGTACGTAAATGATCATGCTTCCTTCACTCACACTGAAAATCACTAAACGGACTAAAACGACCAAAATGTTCTTACAACTTGAAAAGAATACATCAGCTACTGAACCTCGACATATGAGCTTCTCATTATTTGAGATCTCGACAGTACAACTTTTGATATTTAAGCCTCTCAAATGTAGTTCGGATCAAAATAAATAATAAGCTATATGTATATTGTTCAATTAGATTCGACAATATACTATACAAAGATATACACAACTGATAAATCACTCTCTTCGATCAGTACGCCAGCAAATCTTTTTTAAAGGAATAAAAAGAATTCTTAGTATTTAATTAGTAGCTATTTACTGGACGCATAGTACATATCTCAAAACAAAGAAAACATGTTCAAGCCTTCTTCATATCACTCTTCCTATTTATGTCAATAACACAATTATCACAAGTAAAAACCAACTTCTTGTTGATAGTTTTCGATTTCGACGAGCAAACAATCGTCAAAAAACGTGGGGAGGGGTATGGATGCCGGTGTGTTGGTATCAATGAAGAAAAAACTAAGAACTACAACCTCACTCACAGTTACATAGTCACACTCAGAAACTCGAATATTGAAGCTCAACTGTCGTGTCACAGGTTAAAAGGCGTGTAAGCGTAAAAGAGCATACATTTAATTTCTCGTGAACCTACGTTCTAAATCGTTTGTTTTTTTTTCTGACTTTGAACACATTATAGATTAGTTTCCAATGAAAAAATTTACCGCATGTTGATTGCTTGTTGATTTTGATGAGTTGAATTTCTTAGGTGGATTTATCATAGCCATACAAATGTTGCCCTTTCTTTTTTTGGGCATTTTTTTGTTTGATGAAGCTTTTCGTTTAACACCTTTTTTTGCTGCTTTTTCTAAAAATTAGATGTCATCAGTTAGATTGATAACGATATTCATCGATATAATGTACTCACGTTCATTAATTATCTCTGTTTCACATTTAATATTTGAAATCATAAAAATATTTTCTTGTTTCAATGCTAACTGAAAGATAATTTTATAGCAAAGTAGATCATAATCAATGGTGAGTTGTTTTCCTTTTGCTACTTTGCCAATATCATCTTCATTTGTAAGTGTATCTATAATGAACAAACAAGAATTAATTAAAAATTAAAAAACAAACAAAAATACAAACATTTTTCTGTTATTCTATCAACAGTTAATAGATTAAATGATGTTAAATCAAATGTATAATCTTCAAATTTTTTACAGATTATAGATAAACGTGGAAATCTGAAAGATAGATATTGTATAGACAAAAATAATATTCTAGTTAATGTTTACTTACTTTTTTTCGCATTTTAGTATATCTGATTTAGTTAATGGAAGAAAAATACTTCCACAACCTATTTCGATTGCATCTTCAGTACGATACTTAATACCATTGACATGTACAAATGTTTTATTTCTTGGATTTTTTGTTGATGTTACCATTGTTAGAACAATTCCAAATGATGCATTTTCAGGCAATGATATTAATGATAAATCCGGCAACTATATAATGTAAATAATAAATTTAACGCATAAGATATTTATAGATAAATAATATTTCAGAAAACAAACTTCAATAGACATTGGATGTTTTTTTGAATCAGGCAAAAAACGTGGACCATCACTTTCATAACGAGCACGTTGATCAGGTTTTGGTTGTTCTTTGACAGTCATTACATCATCGATACAGGCAAATTGATTTGTATTTATCTCGAAACTCATTTTTTTCTGATTCTCGTTCACATTCTCTTGATTATTATCTTGTGATACAATCTTATATAAAACAAACAGAATTTATAAATAATCTTTTTTGTTTTATTTAGAAAATGAAATACAACATACTGTTTCCTCAGGTAAACTACCGACTAGAATTTGGTCAAATTCGTCTCCTGTAAATTCTTCATTCTTTAGGATAGCATCAATGTTCAATTGACTATCTATGGTAGAAATAAAAAAGTTCTAAATAATCTTAAGAATACTGATCATGATTTACCTAGTAGAGGATCAACCAATTCTGTTGGAACAATGGAACCTGAAAATATTTCACAGATAAAAACAAAATACAATAAAATCATTGTAATAATCAAAACATGCTTTGAAGATCATCTAAGAAATCATCATCAATATTTGTGTTCGAGTAGTCATGGAACATTGGTGATAGATTCACATTATCGTTATTGAGCACATTTAATTCAAGATGTTGAATTGTTAGTTTGAAAGAATTTACTGAATGAATTTTACCATTGCCGAACTTGAAACCTGAAGTAACATTTAATGAATCTTTGCCATCGATTATGTCTTTTAAACATGCATCAATATCAGTGTCGTCCAACCAATTTACTGTAAGAGTTGTAAAAAATAAAGAATTCAAACTATTAATAAATAATTTTGAAAAACTATGTACATACATTCTTTTACTTGATTCGACATGAAATTGTTTTGTGTATAATACGATAGAAAAAGACCTTATACTTCTTACTTTCGAAATAAAAAAATAAATAATACGAGTGAGTTCCATCAGACGACAACATTTTTTTCCCACTCTGGCCAAGTAAAAATACGAGACGATACTCTTTTTTTTTCTTCGTCAATGAGTCAGAGTAACGAAAACTATTGGTAACTGAAGAAAGAAAAAAAAAGAACATTGCTTTAGACAGATGACGACAGAATACAAAATACAACAATTGTTTGAAGAAAGCAAAAAAAACAGTTACATTTCAGTCAGTTTGACTTGAAGTTTGTTAGTAAAAAATTCATTCATAATAATTTCAATTCGTCTTTTGTTCCAATAAAGATGTCAAAGGAATGAAACACAAAGAAATCTTATTATTAAAATAAATGAATCTGGTCGGAAATTTTGTCGTATAAATTTTTTCCAACAACGAGCAGGGGATAAGGTACAAATCGACCTATATAAAATAGTAGTGAATACTTCGAAAAAATTTGAGAAATAACAAAATAATTCTGAAGATCTTATTTATTTACATATAAATATAAAATGTAAGTAAAGCATGTCGAATAACTATCGACTTGAAGAATTTTATCATCGCAACTTTACCTAGCTAGTAAACAAAATGATGCAATGACATGAATGTATTATTGAGTAGCAAGATTTCATAATGCTTTAAATAAGTATATTTGTACTTTGTCAACAGAAATCTTTTTTGTTTTGTAATCTTCAAAACACATATTATATTATACAGAGACTATAATAAATTTATTTTTACCTTGTTTATTTTCGGGAATACATAGATTACAATCAAAAGAAAAAAAAAAACATAAAACATGATTATATTATCAACTTCTTGATTATAATATTAAAAAAAAAAGTTAACAGCGGATGAGGGCTTCAACAAGAATAGTTATATGTTAACATATTCTTTGCTGATCCTTTCGATCGTAGCATCTTGTTTATTATTCAAAGTTATAAATAAAGTTCAAGCATCTGTAATCACATATGTTTCACAATGAATAGGCGTTCTGTACCATTGATCATTTTGTTTTATAATTAATTGACAAACAATTTGGTACTGGTTTGTATGATATGTTTGATCGAAACATTTTGCTTTTTGTACTTTTGTCATACGTTCTTCATTTGGCAATGTATCTAAATAAATATTTTTAGTTAAAATAAAACCATACAAAAAGCTAATGAACATACAAGCTTCGACATGATTATCTTCCATGAACGGATCGAATGGAATTAATTGGAATGTATAATTATTAAGTCGTGTTTTCATTATGGACAAATGTCGAAATCTAAAATCATCAAAATATATATAATAAGTTGAAGAAAACATGTATTTGTCTCTTACATTTTTCTTTGTCGACGAATCTCTTCTTCTGTTAATAGAACACGGAATGATCCTAAGCCATTTTGTTCTACATTTTCTTCATTATTAATCATTTCATGTTGATGAAGAAATCTTTTATGTTGTGGATTTTGTTGCGTAGTAACTAATGTAAGTTCAAGCCAAAATGATTGTTCTACTTTTGTTAAACATCCATTTAATATAGGTAACTATAAAAGAAAAACAAATTTATAAAATGTTCCTAAGTACGACAAGGTACAACTTCAATAGACATTGGATTGCGACGAGATTGTTCTAAATAACGAATTCCATCCGTACGATAACGAATATGATGTCTTGCAACCGGCTGTGTATGCATTCGCATGATTGGATTATCATAGTAATATATCGCATTTACAATTGCTTGGACATCCATACTATCAGTTTCTTGATTGATTATTCCATTTTGTAACTGAAATAAAAATATGAAGTTATGGTTTTTTTAATTAAAAGAAAAAGAATTAGCTATTAATGAATGTCATTTACCATGACTTCTTCTGTCTCTCCTTCTTCCTCATGCACATCCATCGATTGATGTACATTATTTTTTATGCCATTATCGTTAACTTGAATATCTAAAAAAAAACAAGTTTTATTCTTTTGAATTAAAATACAAATAGTAAAATTGTAAAAAACCTAATAGCACACATTGAAATTCTTCGTTTATATTTTCACTTGGAACTGTTAGTTCTAAAATTTAACAAATAAAGTCACATAAAATAGTGTTCTACATTAAGCTTCTACTTTTCTAACAATAGAAAATTGAATTCAAAAGAAATTTTCCCAGAAGTTCGATCAACACAAAACTTTTGTTCTTATTTTTTGTATTTCCTACGGCATGGAGAACCTTAAACATTCTTTGAAAATATACCTTGATCAGTAGATATTGAAAGAAATTCTTGAAAAGCTGTAACAGGCATGTCTAAGAAAACAAAAATTATACCTAATTATATTCAATTTGCACACAAAATTCACTATTGTAGCTACTTGAGTGCTGTTCTTGTATCCATTGGATAAATGAATTATTTATTTCAAGTGTAGGTGTATTTAATGTTCCAACACCTATAATAATATAACTTGCATCGTTGTCAATAGTATTCAGTAATGATATGTACCTTCACTGAGAATTAAACTTTCGTATGCATTATGGAAATCATTTGAAGGAAATAAAATTTGATCGAAATCGATTGAATCATTTGTTGTTTCATCTTCCAAAATTAAAATATAAAATAAATGAAGTTCTTTTAGAAGACTGATAGAATAGCTAAGCTTACAATTATGTGGCTTGAAAGCCATATTGATCGTTTCGCTGTTCAACAATATGAATCTAAAATAGTTAATACGAAAAGTTTTCTGACGAGAATTCAGTAATATTTAATAAAAGAATCACTAAAAAATTTAATTATAAATGATGGACTGATTGCTATACCACTTTCACATAGGATACTAAAATTGTACTACCTTTTCTTTTCATAGTTCTCTTGCGTCAGGCGAGAGAGGAAGAATAAAATAAGAAGTAAAAACCTTTTTGTAATATTTTTGTTGTCATAGAGGATAGAAAATATAGATACCTCATTTTGTTTTTTGAAATCTTAATTATTAATTATAGTTATTTTATTTCTCTCCGTCAACAATTCTAATCGTAAATAAATAATAATAATAATCAAACTTGCACTTTCATCAATGAATAAGAGTATTTGTATGACATGTTTTCTTGCTGGCATATTTTTTCGAATATTCATAAAAGCAACAAAACAAACTCATTGACTGTGCGAAGTCTCTTTTTCTAACCAAATTAATAAAAATTCAATTATATTCATTGAAATTATGATAACAATAGACTATTATTTTATTTCTTTAACAGAATCTTGACTGCATATTTTGATTAAGAAAATATATACAAACAAAAAAAAATATAACTTTAAAAAACGGCATAACAAACCAGAAAAAATAATTCAGAAATAATAACATCAAACAATAAAGTAAATGAGATAAAGCCAAAATAATGTTTTGCTGTAACGTAATTTTGTAGACATTGGTTTATGATTTTTTAACTCGTGTTACCTAAAAAACATAATCTAAAGACAATTAATTTTTTTATGAAAAATCAAAAATTAAATTTTACCGGTAAACATTTCCTAAATCGTGGAGATCGTTTTTGTTTCTTTGACAAACTTCGACAATGAACTAAATAATCATCGTCTTCATCATTCTCATCATGATTTCTGATATTAGAAGATTTTGAACGCTTATTTAGTTTTTTCGGTTTTTTTACTAAAAAAAGACAATGAGAAACAATATTTATTTAAAAATTAGGCTTTCGTTTTTCGATCAATTACTTTCTTTCATAATATTTGTTTCACATATAATATCTGTTTGATGCCATGTCTCATTTTGTTTAACGAGTAATTGACATACAATACGACTTGATGTTAAATTGTATGCGTCACGAAAACGTTTAGCTTTTTTAATAAGTGTCTTTACATTTTTATTTTCATCTATGACATTAAAAAAATATTTAATTACTATGAAAAAAAATTAAGGACAACATCCGCATACATATTTCAATTGAATTATCTATTGATAACTGATCGAAGGGTATTAATTTAAACGTGTATGAATCTAATTTTTCTTTGATGATTGATATACGTGCTAGTCTGAATTTCAAGATTAGATTTGTATAGTATAGAAAAAAAGATTCTTTTTACTGTTTTATTCCTTTTTGAATATCTGCTGGAGTTAGTGGAATCCGTACAAATCCATGATCACATTCTGGTAAATCATTTGCATGATATTCTATTTTATCAATATGAATGAACACTTTTTTTGCAGGATTTTCTTGAGTAGTTATGAGTATTAACTCAATCCAAAATGATTGATTTGCATTTAATATACAATTTTTTAAATTTGGTAACTAAAAGCAAATTGTGAAATAAAATCGATTGCAAGAGAAAAAAAACATGTCGAACATACTTTGATTGTCATCGGCTTTGAGCGAGATTTTTCAATCTGACGTTTTCCATCACTTCGATATCGTCGACGAATGTTGGTTGGTGGCTGAGTTGCAACATTCATTTGTCGATCTTGAATTGATTTATCGATATTTTCTAACTCGATCTTATCTATTTCTTTTTGTAACCAACCATTTGTTTCATTGCACGGCTAAAATCAAAATTTCCCAGTGAGAATTTACTATTAATATACAGTCAAGTACTAACCAAGTCTAAGATATTAAACTCTGGATTTTTTATTAATTCTTCAATTTTGTATTCGATATCTGAAAACAATTTCATTCATGAATAGTATAACGAAATATGATTTAAAACAAACCGGATGCAGTCCAAAGACTTTTGTCAATGTCATTATAATCTACATTTAACAAAATTAGGTCATTTAAAGATACATATATATATATAATTGAAATACCTTCAATATTAGATGATAGACTATTATTTGATGAGGATGGTGCTGTTGTTCCATTACTAACAATATCTGTTACCGAAGAAAAAAATACATTTTTAAAAAACTACATTTTATGCAAAAAGTAAATCTTTACTTAGACTAAAAGCAACGTTTATTACGGGATTTTGAATAATATTTTCAAAATATTGAGAAGTCTCAATACTGGTATAATCGTATAAATTACGAAGATCTTCGCATTCTAAAATGGATGACAATGATAAAAATATATGACATTAAAGTATTATTTCAAATTACTCTCTTGTGGTTGAAGAGCCATGTTTCAATATTTCATATCTTTAATAAAGAATAATATGCAATATTAAATGCATTTAGTTATCAGCAAGAAATACGAGAATAACTTATGAAAGTAATGTGTACATTTTATTGACAATTGCAAAGACTAGTTTTTTTTACGTAAGAACGCAAAGAGATGATTGGTAAGAAAAAAAATCTTATGGTATTTTGTTAAAGAACACAGTATAGGTGTCTCGCATACCGCACAAAAAACTGATAAACCAAATAATATTGTTTTTCATCGAGGTACATTTTAAAATATTGATTCTCAAACAAAAACAATTTTCTCCGGATAGTTGTTTTCGAGTAATTTTTTCTTCCAACGTTTGATACAGGTTGAAAAGAAAGTAATAACTATGTATTTTCGATAAAAATTTCCAACCAGAACAAAGAACATGGGCACTGATTCACAATACTTACTCAATTACTTGTTGAAGATTGACATTAACCTACGACGTATCAGTATCCACACAAATGTTGATGTCTGCTATGTTCAAGTAGAAAATGCTAGACGTTTAACTTTTCATCCACTAATAGAGCAACATATATACTTTGAAATACATATTCGAAATAAAATTTACCAAGTAGTTTAAGACATCAAGTTTTAATATTTATAAAACTATTAAAAATGACTTTTTATGGTAGCAAAACAAGGAATTCTTTTATACTTTAATTGTGTGTTTGCTTTATTGTCTTCAAATGGGACATTCATTTCGATTAGCTATATAGGTATAATTAAAAAAACTTTAAGTCAAATGGATGCAATCCTTCCGAGTTATTAAAGTTTTAAACTACATCAAAGTTGATGACAAGTACTATGTTATACGCAGTTTTCGTTTTTTTTATCTATGTGCTCACTACAATGTATTGTAACATAGTTTCATACATATGTTGCGTACGGGTAAAAAGACTGCATAATAGTTTGGGAATCTTCAAAGTTTGTGTTCATACAAGTAGAAATGCATCAATTTCTAGAACACGGTTTTAACAATGACATTTTTTTCCTTATTAAGACTGTAGCTTCTATCTATTGCTTTTGTAAACCATGGTTAGTTTTATTTTGTTCTATCCAATACTGTAGTCAAGTTCTTGAAATACGAAACAAAGGTTCCAGAAGAGATCTGAGAATTGATTGAAAATTCGCATTTTTAGATTTCTTTTTCGATCAATGCCAACTGATTTTGAGACTAGTGTTTTGCATTAGAGAAAAACTAAGAATATCTTCGGAAAGAGTGCTCAAAACTGATAACGACGAGCATGAAGAATTGCTAGAAGCCTAGTCAATCTCAATACTTGGCATGCATTTTTGTAAGCACGTATGAATTAATGCCTTAAATTTCTAGTCAGAGTTTCGAATGTTGTCACTATTGAGAGTTATCACACTCCTAGTGATTCTTCTTACTAGTTGTGATCATTTTTGAATGTTCTTTCCGAAGCTGTTATAGATTTTGCCTAATGTAAAACACAAGTCTCAAAATCAGTCGGAATTGGTTTTAAAAAGAACCCAGAAAAAAACGAATCTTAGACTGATTGCACAGCCTTTATTTCATATTTCATAGAGTTCGACGACAGCATTGGATAGAATAAAAACAAACTGTTCATGGCTGATAAAAACACTCTACAGGAACTACATTCTTGAGAAGGAAAAAATGTCATCTTGGAAATCATTGTTTGAAAATTAATGATTTTTACTTACAAGTGGTTGAAACTTTCATTGGAAACCATGGAATCAACTAGTTTTGCTTTTATTGTTGATTGCTGATTACTCTGAACATACAGAAAAATAGAAAATCGATTATCAGAAAATCGAGATTTTTTAGTCTCTATTTTTTGCAAATTTGAACTCACTATTTTCTTCTTTAGTTCATAGAATACAAGCTAAAGTAAAAAAAATGCGAAGATATTTATCTTGGTAAGAAGCCAGTTTTAGTCGTTTTAAAAACATTAAAATTTAATGTCTTGAACAATATCCAAATTTTGATTTTGAATATGCATTTCAAAGTACATACTTTGCTCTATCTGTGAATGAAAAAGTTAGGCTTTCATCACCTTTCATTAAAACACAGCAATCTCTTAGAATTCTACGGATACTTATGCATTATAGGTTAGTTAAAATTTGAAATTGTTCAAAACATTATTTTATAAAAGAAATTTAAAAGCTTATATAATACATATAAGAGAACTCTTGTGTAGCTTTAATAAATGATTATTTTATATTGAATCCAATGATTGCTCATATAATATTTTAGTGTGTTGAAACATAACAATACGTGGATAAAACTCATTGGCGATAGTAAATGACTAACATAATTGAATGCTTCAATTGATCTTGATTAAAATATTTCTTGACTAATCATTTACTGATAGTGAAAAGTTTAAAATTATTGTTCATCAGCTAAAAGAATCAAGTAGAGAATATTATTATTCTGTATCCATATAGAGTAAAGATGATAAACATTTTCACCTTCATGCGCAAGTGTCTGAGTAGAATGAATCTCTTGTTCCAAACTATATTGATCAGCATTAAGAATGTCTTAAGGTGCATAGGTCTTCATCTTTCGTTTCACACCGACTAAAACTGAATCGGCACACACGATGATATCATTAAGATTGTCTACATGATAACGGATCACTAGATTCGTAATTTTTCTCGAACAAATACGATGACGACGTTTGAACATTCGTAATTAATATTTGGATGCTTCAAAATATAAGAACTGAATCTTTAGCAACTTTATGGAGTATTCATCGTTTCAAACCTTGTTCGTGAACAGAGAGAGAGAGAGCATTGTGTCGAATTTCATCAAGGTTCTCATGGACAAAATCGTTGATAGTCTGTATCCTCTCTTGTTGTGTGCCATGTTATTCAATGTATTGACGCAATCAAGCAATATATTGTCGATGAGAAACGTATTTGAATTGATGCTGTGTAGACTTCTATGTTTGGATTTTTGTTCGGTTTGAGTCGCACGCAATTATAATACAATAACTTTTGTATGTAATCAAGACTAAAATTTGTTTTCAGCGAGACTTCTTACCTCCTATAGTCTCATCAAAATTGGAATCAACATTTTCATTTTTACGATCAGCAATTACATCTTTGAAATCACTGCGCTCTTTATCGTCATCGTGATTGTGAGTCATCATATTTGCTTGGATTTCATGCCAAGTACGATAAAAAATATTATCGATTACTGCTATTAGGAACTGATGATTTCTTTCTGGTATGGATTTGTTCTTGATCACCACCAGTCGGTCTCTTCAATTTCAGTCCCTTGATAGACTAGCAATTTTGTAATTCTTGTAGGATTAATCCTGATTCTCGTTACATGATGAAGTAAAAAAATAATAAATAAATATCGGACTTCGTGCGACGAAGACTCGTGTGAATCGTAAGTGTGACAACATGTGTTTACGTATCACGGTAATCATAATACAGTCTGTGTCATAGGACATAATAGAGCATGATAAAATGTATACAATACGCATGCCTTTTTATTTCTCACATTCGCACAGATGTGTCAGTTAAATTGCTTTGATTGATGAAAAAACCATCATAGCATACGGAGATGAATTTAAACATCTGGAAACACATCAGAATAGTATACTGATAATCAGATGAATTTATCAGAAAACTTTTAGTTAGTAGTAAGTTTTCGTTTGTTGTATGACACAGTGATATAGGGTTAAAATCGCTGTTTTGTCTAAAAACTCGAAAATTCAATGTATTAGGACAGAATGGCCATGGACCCGAGTCCTTTTGGGTTTGTTCTAGTTTAAAGATCTTCTTTATAAACCCAAAGTATGAGCTCAACAGAAGTGAATCGCTTCAAGAGTTCTGTCGTGAGACAAATGCACCATTGCTTTATAAATACTGCTTGAATAACAAAAATCGTTTGGGGAAAAACATGGATGAACGTATTCGAAGAATAAGATCGCACACATTACTAGTGACTCCACTTAAGCCCTCAGCCATGGCGATATTATTGATAAATTTAAGTGAACTTTATTACAAATTTAATGTTAGAATTTCAAGCTTATTGAAGTTAGCATTCTAGATTATAGATTCCTTTAATTTATGGTCTTCTCTCTTCACTTGATGGTGTTTTTGAAATAAAAATGAAGGTAGTCTAATCGATAAAAACTTCAAATATCAATCCAAGCTACCCTAAATCAAGTTTCATAAGATAGTAATCACAACACAAGATTTCTGTAACACTTTTGTTTTTCAAACTCATTTTAAATCGACATAAAATATATTCACTTAACCGCATCTTTCGAATAAATTTTTCATGACTTATTATGTTCAAGTTTAAAAGAACGCTTAAACATATTTGAAAATAGTTTTCTTATGTAAATGTAAATAGTTGTTGATTTAATTTTAAGATCTTTAGATTATCTATTATGAGATCGACATTTAAGTCATAAATAGTTTTTTAACTAGTTTAGATTGCTTGTGACTAATATAAGTATCTATCTTATATTATATGCAATTGATTTCTTCACCAAGCCAATCATTCCTAATCTGTATATTGTTTCTTTGCCAATAAAAAGTTATTAGCTCTATTTTGTTTAATCAATCAATAAGAAAGTAGCTTAACAATTTTTAGAAAGCAGACTAACAAATAAACTTTTTAACTACTTCTTAAAACATAACCAAATTATTGTTAAAAATTTGTAGAAACAAATTTAAGATTTAAAAGCAAAACAATGGAAAAATGTTTTCGCGAATATCTCTAAACATGGTTATATTTGTTACTTGATATTATTGCTACGATTCGAAGCTTTCTTGGATCAAACAGAGAAAGTCATTGAAAATAGTTTATCTACGATTCTTGTACATAATCTTTATTTCTAATATAGATTTAACCATGCTTAATGGTGGTGTCAGAAATTTTCGTCAAGAATGTGTTAGCCCCTAAACTAGCAAAATTTTGCAAGACGTATTGGGAGTTTTTCGAATATTTTGATTCGTTAAGAGTG